CGCAGGGCAAGCACGTTGAGGGGAACCAGGAGGGCACCGCGGACGTCAAGAAGATCCGGACTTGGAGACAGTATATGAATCGGTGCGTTGTTCTGGATGCGTCTGACCTCGTCTGCTCATATTGTGTGTGTGTTCAGGCGCGGAGGGTTCAACAGACCGCTCGACAAGATCAAGTAGTTGGTCTCGTCCGCCCACTGGAGTGGAGGTGCCGTACATGGGTCCCGATTCGATGTTTACTTGCTCGTTCAGTTCGATGCTGCGATATGCTACACTTGTTGCAAGGAACGTGATCTCGGCCGCATGCCCCAACCCTACGTCACAGTTGTGCGCACTTACAAGATCGCAGAGTTTGGGTGAAACAAATGTCTAAATCACAACAACAGCATGCGACTCGTACGTAGAAGTACACACCGTCGGCTACGAGGCGACGGCAACGTGAAATAAAAACATCGCAAAAGTACAACAAGTCGTGCGTATGATGGCAGCGGTCGGACGGGGCATTCGGAAGTGGGAGGGCACGTGGGCGCATCCCGCCCCGCGACCCGGCACTCAGAACCCATGCAGCTTGATCGTGGCGCGCGGGATACCCTCCTCGACGAGGAAAGTGGATATCTTGGTTCGCTGATCGCCCTGGAGCTGGATCACTTGTCCGGCCTCTTCGTCTTCCACAAGGGTGCCGTTGCAGGCGAATTCCTACCGAGGACAGAGCAGGGTCAGCGCTGGGACCGACGTGCGCGGGGATCGGACCGGCGCACCTTCTTGAATGCCTTGAGGAGTTTTTTCGCATCATACTCTGATAGTGGGGTGAGCGATACGGGGGGTGCAATGGAAGATGGACAGACCCCTGGGCAAGCCCTGCAGCGTTGTCAAAGTCTTGCGCCCATTCCGCTGCTGGATGCGGATGTGGATATGGTTCTGCTGGCCGGCGTCAGTGTTAGCGGCGAGCGGGTCGGCTTCGTCGGCGAAGGGGTCTAGATTTGGGCGGGTTAGGGCTGGGGGCAGATAAGGGGCGATCTGGGGGAGCACGGACCGAAAGTGTTGAGGTTCTGCACGCTCATGCGATGAAAGGAAAGAGACAGAGAGGAGATGGGCTGGCTGATGAGGGACAAGATGGCGGTTGCGGAAGGAAACCAGGCAAGAGCACTTTCCCCGGATTTATGGCGGCGCCACCCTCAATCTCATTACGTCAGCGGGGTCTCCTCTGCTCTCGGCCTCTGTCTCGACTCCAAGTCGCTCAACGCCCTGCCCAACAATGACTCCCTCTGCTCCCACTTCAAACAAGAGGAAACCGCCCACATTTCGCCACCTGCCCCAAGAGCGAGGTCCGTGCACTGCTGCACCGCTCGCTACGAGGCTGACTCGACCTGTGCACCGCCGGCCGCCTGACAGCCAAGAAGCTCAAGGAGGCGTGGGTTGCTAAGCAGAAAATAAAGAGCAAATGGAAGGCGCAAAAGCGCAAGGAAGGCATCGTCACGCAGCGCGACCCCCAGCCGGACGTGGCCGAGAACGACGATGAGGGCACCGACGCAGCCGAAGAGAGCCCAGAGGAGGAACCAAAACCCGCAGCGCCTCCCCGGCGCGAGCAGCCGCAAGACGAACAGGCAGCTCCAACTACAAGTGATAAACCATCATTACGCGAGCTCCAGCGACAGGCGTATTCCCGCGCATCCCTGCATCATTTCAAGGCGCAGCCCCTGCGCCACTCGAAGAAACATGGTGCCGATCGCGGTGCAGAGGCTGTGGGGCAGGCGCAGAGAGGTGCAGGGAGGGGCGCCGCCTGCGGCCGCGGGCGGGGAGGCGGGCAGCCCAACATGAGCCTGCGCATGTCCGCCATGCTTGAGAAAATCAAACGCGACTACTCATGACAACCCCGCGTGAATTGGCACAAGCAGCACATACATACACATCTTCTAGCTCTTGTTCTCCTTGTCTCCGTCTTGCTCGTCCAGCGGCGCGTCTGCCGCCGCCGGCTCGCCGTCCTGCTTTTGCCTCTTCGACTCGGGCGCGGGCTCGTCCGCGCCGTCGCCAGCCGCCCGCACGAACCTGTCCTCGAGGCTGATGACGCCCGACCCCTCCCCGCTGCTCGTCACGGAGCTCAGTGCCGTCGGCCGGTCGCTCAGGTGGCCCGGGCCCGGGTCGTCGAGCTCGTCCACGAGTCCGAGCCCGCGCGGCTCCACGCCGAGCGCCGCCGCGGCGTCGGTGTGCTCCGCGCCGTTGAGCGCCATCGGCGACGGCGGCGGGCTGCGCGAGTGCGAGCGGCGCGCGTCGTCGTGCAGGAACGGGATCGGCGAGAAGAGCGGCGTACTCGGGGTCGCAGGGGACGCAGCGCGGTGCGCAGTGGGCGCGACGGCGATGCCCATGTTGTCCGTGGGCTGCGGCGGGAGGGGCGGGAACGAGTCCCACGTGGACGTCACGTAGAGCGCGCGCTCGAGCGCACGCAGGTACTTGCCGAGCGCGGCGTAGTTCTCGCGCGGGCGTGCGCAGAGGTCGGCGAGGCGCTGGATCGTGAACGGCGCGCTGTGCAGTGATCGTCGTCGTCGTCAGCGGATCGCAGGGAGCGGGTCGGGCGCACGCGTCAAACACGTCCAGCTGGGCATAGATCAACCTCTTTACGGCGGCGGCCTCTGCAGGGGCGTAGTGCACCCTGGGGGCCTCGTTGGGTTGGACTCGTCGCGCTCGCGCGAGGTGAAGGGGGGCAGCTTGAGCCCGCCGGCAGTGGATGGCTGGGACGAGAACGGGGGGACATGGATGGAGGCCGCGTTGAGACGTTCGGCGTCTGCGAGGAACGCAGCGATGTTCTGTCGCGGGTGGGTGAGGCTGCGAGCATGGGCGCGGGCGCGGGCGCGGGCGATATCGCACCTGGTCGATCTTGTGTTTGATGATGTCGCGCAGCTTGGGCCAGTCGATGCTGCGACGGCAGACGTCAGCAGACGGACGGGCGCACAGCCAACCAGTCGCGCACTCGAGGATGTCTGTAGAAGAGATGCGCTCGAGGGCGACGTCGTATTCTGCGCGGTGTGAGAGGGGCAGAGTACGCTGGAGAGGGCAACACGGCACCTTGTAACCAGACAAAGTCTGATGAGGACATGTCGGGCGGCGAGTGAGTCGCTCGCGGGAGAGATGAGCTCGCCGAGACGAGCTCGCCCGATTTCGCAGCGATCGACTCTTGGCGTGTGTCCACCACTCCTGTCGCAGTGTATAAAGCCCGAGGGCGAGTGCGATGTTCACTCCACCACTTATTCCCCCTGCTATACCCGCCTTTATGAGAAACCCAGACTCGAGTCGCTCGCTGGCCCGCTACGACAGGAAGAAGTTGCTGCTCTCCTATGCCCCTGACTGGTGCGTCTGATCCTCGGACCACCGACTTGCCCTTCTCATCCCTCAACAGGACCATAACCATAACCTTAGCGTGCGTCCTCTTCCCCTCCGCAGTCCGCAGCAGGGGCGCGCCTGTCATAGCTGCCATGCGCCCTGCGATAAGTACCTCCCGTTCACCCCGCTCTCAGCGTCGCCTTCTTCCTCCTTGACAAGGTCAGCGGCTTCAAGCGCGAGTTCTCGGTCACCGACACTTCGTGCGCATCTCTCGTCTCTCTCTCTCTCTCGCCGTGCTGACACCGCCGCAGTCTGCGACATCCGTGAGCAGTGCTAGGCTGCCCAGAGCGCGCTCTTACACACCCTGCAGGTTTGCTGTGCATGAGAGAGTGCCCGTACGTCCCCGCGCCCTCGTCATCTTACATACCCCGCCTCATGCCCTGGCTTCACAGGACTGGGCCCTGTACATAATCGCCGTCGTCGCCCCGCTCGCGCTGCAGTGGGCCATCAACCTGCTCACCGTCCGCTCCCTCTGGGACGCCCATAGCAGCTCGCTTGGAGGTGCGTGCGCTACCGCGCCCGCGATGCATATGACATCACGCTCATCGCACCGGCAGTCATCCTCGGGCTCACCCTCGCCGGCGCCTTCACCCAGGTCGTGAAGATCACAGTCGGACGCCCTCGCCCAGGTGCGGCTGCGCGCTCCACGCCTCGCCGCCAGCTCACCCGCTCACCTACCTCTTCTTGGCTCGCACAGATCTCCTCGACCGCTGCCACCCCGCCCTGGGCACCGTCGACCCGCCGTTCGGCCTCTCTTCCGTAGCGATATGCAATCCGACGAGTCAACACATGATAAACGACGGCTTCAGGAGCTTCCCAAGCGGGCATTCAAGTCGTCCGTCCTTCCCTTCCCTTTTTGCCATAGAATGCATCTGACGCCGGCGCGCAGTGTCGTTCGCGGGTTTGACTTTCTTGTCTCTCTATACTGCGGGAAAGTTGCATTTGTTTGATTCGCGGGGGCATGCGGTGCGTCTGGACGTGCGTGCGCGGGGACGAAGCGGCTCATTTCGGTCTCTCTCGCAGCCGAAAGCATGGATCTCCGTGCTTCCCCTGTTCGGCGCCTCCCTGGTAGCCATCAGCCGCACCATGGATTACAGACGTCAGTTCTTCTCGACCCGAGTGGCCTCGTGCTGACCGTCCGCGTACAGATCACTGGCAGGACGTCACCGCCGGCTCGATTCTTGGCATCGTCTGCGCGTACTTTTCTTACCGCTTGTATTACCCCAATCTCTCGTCAGAGACGGCCCACCTCCCCTACGCCCCGCGCATCCAGCGGCTGGACAACATCCTCCCGACCCACCACCGCGCGCCGTCCGACGCGCCGTTCTTGCATGTGCCCGTGCCCTCCGAGAGCCTCTCCGGCGGGTCTTACCGGGACAGCGCCGATGCGGCCGTCGAGCTGCTCGACGGCACCGTGCGGCGGGACGAGCCCGGGTCGCTAAACTCGGTGTGGAAGCAGGGCTCGAGCGCAGAGGACGGCCGCCCCCGCAGCTGAGGCCCGATGTACCCGTACCCATTTAAATACACTATCTTGTTTCTGTCCAGAGTATGCATGTCTTCTCAACGATTAGTAGTACCCGCGGAGTGCAGTCTGGGGTCGGGACCTTGCGGTGGCTTGCAAAAAGGAATCCCTCGAGATGGGCTCGAACCTTCGACCTTGAGATGCGCTGGGGTAACCAATTACAGTCTCACGCTCTTCCAACTGAGCTATCGAGGGATGTTACCTGTTCTCCCCCGAGCGCGCATTACCTTGCTTGCAAGGTTCCATTCCCCATAATTACCTCGGGCGCCGCCTGAGTACGCATGATGGGCCTAGGGATATGGTCTCGGAGTACAGAACCTCAATCTAAACCTCTTCATCCGTGTGCCTTTCTCAGCCCGCATTTCCTTCTCCCTCTTGCTCCCCTAGCCACGTGCGAAGTCCTCACGTTACCCAGCATAATTGCGCGCGCGTATCACGGCATGCCGCGTCGAGTCTTTTGTGAATGATTGCAGGTGTCGTACCTGCTCCTTCAAGACGACGCCAGGGTGGCTGGAGAGTGCGCGTGTATCCTAAGCGCATCCTGCGATACAGGGGGCGTTGTCTGTCGAAGTTCGGTTTGCATCGTAGCACGTGATTCGTCATAGATAGCGTACGTTTTGGAATCTGAAGATGACTACTTCCCTCTTTACTATCTACCACATCAATCAATATGAGGCTGTTCGAGTTCTAACATTGTCGTGTCTTCACGCTGGGCTTGCATCGCGTACCCGCGCTACTATCAGTGGCGCGGAGTTCACCACCAAGTGCCGGAGTGTACAGCGTCCGCCACCTGGCCTTGCACGCCACAAATCTGCATTGATTCTCTTCAATCCTTTTACATTATACATGTACTCTCTGCATCTAACCGTATATGCAGTGCAAGGCTGAGGAGTGATCTGCCCATGCGCGTGGGGAGCCGTGAGCACGGCATGATCGCACCAGTGATACATGGTATGATCATCGCGTTTGACTTCCCACTAGATTCGAATGAGCCTGACACCCACTAACATCCACCTTTCGCCCACCATTGCCTTTGCTATGATCGCGGTGGGCAATATTATCTCTGACATAGGTGCTGACCTGTGAGCGTGCGGATACGGTCGCCGTGGCCTTCAGCACGATGCTGACTTGCTTTTGCCATTAGACTTGTCGGCTACATCCTCTCTCTGGTTCCTATCGGTTCGTTTGGCCTTTTGCTCTGCACATAGTGTTAACTAAAAGGCCCTGGACAGTCATTCTATATTATGACTACCTCATCAGCCTATCCGACGAAGTGAGATACCTCTGGCTCTGGAAAAGGAACGAGCACGACCGCGATGTTTCTACACAACCTCTACCGGCCCACTCACATCATAAGCAGACTCGGCGGCTCCCATGGTGGCGGCTGGACTGGATATCCTGCCTCTGTCTCGTAAATCGCTACGTCTCAATCGTTGGGCATATCCCGATTATGAAGTCATACCTTGTGATGGGAGGCCTTGCAGTGAGTTCTCTTTCCGGTGTGCTCTGATAACTAAATGTTTTAATTTTATCAGTAGTAAGACGTCTCCCTTTTCAAAGGATGCCTAACAATTTATATGATCAGTTGCCTCCAGCTAAACGGCTACCACTGGCTTTTCGCGATCGTCCTCCAAATCCTGGCTGCAGGTATGTGCATACTAGTATTATTTGACGTTGTGTGCTGGCTCACGCATTCCCAGTTCTCTGCATCGTGCGCATGTACTCCTTGTATGGAGAGGAGAACCATACGACCGTGGGTCTGGCAAAGGAGCCCTGGAATAAGAGGATGCGCCACATCATCGATTTCAGAAGACCGATATCTGGAAGACGCATTGTTTTGGTACTCCTATGCTCGATCGTCTTCGCCAGCATCTTGGTTGGCTTCGTTCGTACTTCTGCTTTGGCTTCTACGTCTGCGTCGGGTCTAGCGTCAGCTTACTCGAGCTCTGTAGGTCCTGATGACAACTGGAAAGGGCATACATGGGGTCCAGGTGACATCTCCGATCTATCCGGGGTGCAGCGATCTGCTTTCCCAGCAAAAGTGCGTGTCATGCACCATTCCGGATCTGTGCCATTCACATGTTCCGTGCGTCAGAGCCCGTAGTAAGTTGCACATGGGCAGCGTGTTTTGAGGCTGAGCATTGCTGCAGGCATAGCGCTTTCATGGAGCGGCCCGTTGGTGCTCGACACCACTGTCTTCTTCTTGACAGTCTTCCGCGCAATTCAGTCGCGTAGAGACGCAGGCCCCGGTGCATCTATCCGAGAGATGGCGCTTCTTCAAGTGATGGTACGCAATGGTCAGTTCAAAATATCCCTTAAACAAGGAGGAGATGCCTAACGGGGCCCCTAGGGACTTTGTACTTTGCGTAGGCTCTCTCTTGCGTGCCTTACTATGGGTTTGCTCAGAAGAAATAGCCCCTTGTTCCTAGTGAATCTAGCGAACATCCTCATCTTGTTGGTCAGTCCATTGGCTGCATCGGTACTCATGCAGAGGCTCATTATTCCTGTCGCGCTGCAGTTCGCGCCCGTGCGTGGCCCGTCACAATCACATCAGTGCACCATGGCGTTGACCATTTATCCCGTAACCAGCCACTACTGAAGAATTCAGTAACGACCATGACAAACGCGTTCGTCTATATACTTTCGTGCACAGAGCCCTGTGTGCAAAATGGTCATTCCAGGTTATCCACGACGCTCATCTCGCGCGTCATGCTCCACACGCGCGCCAAACACGCAAAGACCTGTGAAGAACGCAGCAGGAAAATGGATAGGTTCGCGAGTCCCGAGCTAGCAGGCCGCGACAATGCTCCCGACGAACGACAGCAGCGCGGCCAGGAAGATGCTTTCGGTCCGTGATTGCCTTCGCCCCACCCACCTCGCTGACGCCCAGAGACCGACAGACATAGCATAGACTGCAGCCGGTGTCCCGCCAGAACCAGAGAGACTGCTGGAGGAGGCGTAGCCGCCGGAAAAGTGCGAGGATGAAGTGGTTCGGGTGTTTCCGGTGCAACTACGGTTCTGGTACATCGTGATCTCCCTCCGCGTCCCCCGCTTCGTGATCCGATCCCCTATCTATTCATTAAGTACACCACTAGTTGAGTGAAGCATATAATGGGCAGCTGGAACTGTCTGAAAGATCAAGCTCAAGCGTCGAGAGCTCCGCTCAAGACGTATACACAAGCACAAGCTGGTAGCTGCATTGCAAGCAACCAACGGCACCTGCCGCTGCAGACGGCCCTTCTCGAGTCGAGCATCAGCCGAACAATTATAGCCGCCCGCCGCGCGAGCATCACGCGCCAGTCGCGTCACAGCACGTCCGACCAGTCTCCTCCCATCCATGTTCGCCCTCCGAGTCCGCGCCCTGCCCCGCCCCCCACGCGCTCTCGCGCCCGTGCGTTTCTATGCCACCAAGCCCAAAAAAGCAGACGCCAAACTCGCTCCGCTCCCCGCCGCGGCGCCCGCACCCACAGCAGGCAGTAAGCCCCTCCTCCCCGCTCTTCTCTGCCCCCGCACGCCCGCACTGACACGCCACCAGCCGCAACCGCGCAGTCCTCGTGCGCACCCAACACCGTGCTCGAGGGCCTGAACTACCTCAAGGACCAGCCGCCCGTGCTCGCGCAGCCCGACGCGGCGTACCCGGCGTGGCTCTGGACGCTGCTCGACAGCAAGGCCGAGCTGCCGGACGACGGGCCCGGCGGGCACGCGGAGAAGCGCCGTCTGCGGCGCGAGAACCGGCAGCGCATCCGCGACCAGAACTTCATGAAGACGCAGTGAGCGCGGGTTGGGGGGTCGCTTCGTTTGCTAGCTAGGTGCGTTGTCAGCTCTCGGTTGTGCGGTTTGGGTGGCCTGGGGCTGATAGGTTGCTACTAGTATATGCATGGGATTTATACTTTTTTCTCTCTAATGTCTACGCATCCATCTACGCGTTTTCTGTGAGGGCTTCCCTTGACAAGGCATGGCTCGACGAATCCCCAACGGCCAAGGTCTGAGCCTCAAGCGTCAAGAGCACAATCCCACGTCCAGCTTGCTACACAACAGACGTTATGTCTCTGAATCGAGAATATGGCCTTTGCTTACAAGCGCTGCGGCACCACGAACGTTCGAACGCGAGGACGGCGCAAAAACTACGATTCGACAACTTTTTGCAAGTGTAACGGGGTGTCAAGTAAACAGAGGCAACAATCAAGGTGTGGACAAAGGAAGATAGACTCAAGACGATATAGATACAAGCGGTGGCGTGTGGGAGCGAGAGTCAGGTGCTATATATACAACGGCTGGTCACCAACCAAATTAGCAAGGTAGCAAGTGGGTGCTGGATACGACGACAGGCGGCAGTCAAGAACCTATATGAAGCATGCGTTTTGGGCTGCAGTCCTTCGAGCACGGGAGACGGGTGCGTGGGCTCAGTTCAACAAGTCAAACTTGAGCTTCTCTTCCTCCTGCTTCGCCGATATCCCGCCGCACACCCGGCGCAGCGCAGTGACGATGGCCTGCACTCAAGGTCAATCAACGCATGAGCACACGCGAGGTGTAGCAACCCACCCGAAGCCGCTCGGTCGCGATTTTGACTTTCCGGCGCTTGTGGAGACTATCTGTGACCACCATTGTAGATGCGTCCGACTCGTGCCCCGCACTTTCGGCATCTTCGACAATCGTCGCGAACTGCAGCCCACACGTTCAGAACCAGCACACAACAAGACAAGAGGGCACTCTTACCGATGGCTTGGCTGTTACACATGGAACCGGGGGGCGTGGAGGGTCAGAGAAGCGGTAGTCCACAGTCGTCTGCCTTGGGCGTCAAACCGGGGACCTTGGTGCCCAAAACAAGTACGCGGCGTACCATGTGTTCCTCGTGATGGGAGGGATGCGAGCGCGGATACGGGTGGTAGCGACCAAGATGCGACCCACGATACGCGGGGAGCCGCATGTTGTCGTAAGCGGCAAACGGGGAGGTGGTCATGACCAGGGTGAAGGAGGGATAAGGCGGCGCGGGAACGGGCATAAGACGCAGCAAAGTGGTGTTATATAGCCGTTTGAGTGCGCGCGAACGAACGAAACGAGCGTGGGGGCAGTGGAGGTGGTGGGCGGGAAGAGAGAGTTGTGGGGCGCGATTTTGCGCGCGCGGGCAGCTCTTTAAATGCGGCAACTGAATGAGGGCGAGTGCAGATGCCGCTAATTACGCCCCTGGCGCGATG